AGATTTCCATCATAAGAATATTGTTTTTGTTATTAACATTTTACTAAGCAACGGTTATCCTCTTGATTTCATTTTTGACAACATAAATTACAGAATTAAAAACTTTATCTCTAAGAAGATCAATGTTTCGTTTAATTGTAACGCTGTTGCTCAGAATGACAAGAAACTGATTATTTTACCGTACATCAATAATTTATCTGAGAACATCATACATGCGTTTAAAAAAGCTGATAACATAATAGGCTACAGATGTCTTAATAGACTGAATAAAATAATTAAAGCACATAAGGATAGGACGCCGTATGAATTTAATACAAATGTTATTTATAGAATAAATTGTAAAAACTGTTGTGCATCTTACGTGGGACAGACGAAGAGACAGCTGAAAACCAGAATGAAGGAACATATTAACAATTTTAAAAAAGTTACTTCACAGCTTTCTGTCATCTCCAAGCATTGCATNGAATTTAATCATTCTTTTGACTGGGACAATATAAAAATTTTAGACTACGAGACTAATTTTTACAAAAGNTTGATTTCTGAAACAATACACATAAAGAAACAATCACATGGCCTTAACTTAATCACTGANACTGATTTACTTGACAAATCCTATTTTAATTTACTAGACAACTTAATGGCATTCAAATTTTACTCTTAACGTATTTATTCTTTGACTTTAACTGGAGTGGGGCAATAGATGTTTGTATATATATTCGGCTGTCTTTTCGTGTTTCTAGCGTTTGATTTGTGACTTCGATTTGTAAGTATGTTTTGCCTCTGTTGTGCGTGTTATAAAATATTATAAGTGATTACATTTTCGAAATTATTTACAGTTTCGGCGTTACACGTGAAATATGTCATCATTGAGAACGTGTTATGTACAATACCTGCGCCTTCAATTATTAATATGTAAGATCGAATTTTAATACTGAAGAAGACTCAAGTAGAGTTAAAACGTTTATTGTGAATTTTATTGTGAATTTTATGGAAGAGAATTTTTGATAATTTATTATTAATAAAAAATATCTTTAGTTTTGCTCGTGAATTTGACCTGTTTTATATTGATTTTAATATTGTGACATATTTATTTACATATATAGGTATTTATGATTTAATATTCTAAGTTTTTGTTGATATAAAGTTTAAAGTATATTATAACCGATATTATAAAGTTCAAAGTATATCAAAAAAGTTAAAATATTAAAAATTTTTAGCTGTATTTTGTTACAAAAGCAATTTCTATGTTTTGTTTACATTTGATAAATATGTAATCATTGTAATTTGTGTTGAGAAATCATTTAGTTTATTATTAAAGTATGAAAAAAAGATAAATAATATTTTGTAATAAAACAACTTTTTTGCCATTGTATTAAACCACTAAGTTGTTAATAACATTTTCTTCACTTCTTATACTTTAGTTAACCTACCCCATACTGTAAGTCTACCAACCCCGACCGTGGGGCTAGTTGACTAACATGACAAGTGTTCAGAAAATATTACAATACCTCAGTCGTTGTAACATTAAGTCTACTTTTACTATTTAATCACATAGTCAAATATATGTCTTATAAGATATACTAACAATAGATATACTGACCAAGAGCATCTCAGTATCAGGCTGCTCTTCAAACCCTGATGAAGTGAGCTGTAATGTTCACGAAACGTCGGTATTAAAATGACACTAACGCGGTTCAAACCCGAAAAAACATCTTTGTATGTTAATACTACACACCGCGAAAGCATCAAATATCATATACTAACAATATCTCGCTCATATAATTTATTAAAAATCAAATACTGAAAAATTGGCCTACTAGCCCCGGTCTCCCTTACTTGTATTTTATACGATGCTCCGAGGTCATCTCACAAGTCAAAATTCTTCTTATTAAACTAAATTTGCGTTACGTCTAAAAATAAAAATTTGGGACTTAACCGGTTATGTAAGCGTTTGTATTTTAACTGTATAATCTTTTTTCCTTTTCGCGAAGTTTTGACGTAACGTTTTCACTTACGTTTAAGACTGTAAATCTTGGAAAAGCATTTTACGTTGTCATATGTAAAAAGCGGGCGTGGCGTGAACATGTTTCCGTCGCTTGCCGTATAGCGGGCTTGGTAGAAAAAAGACGGAACATAGTATGTTCGCACTCTTTCACGAAGAGCCATAGAGCTTATACTCATGGAGAGGCCCTGCGACCGCAAGGAAGATCGACAAAGAGAGATATATTTTTCTGTTTCAACTGTGGCCACTTCTTATAGAAGAGAATAACAGAGAACACGGAGTGGGGGAGCCATAGTTGAGACAAAATATATCGAAATATATCTCTCTTTGTTGATCCTCCCGGCGGAGCTCTCTCTATGGTTACCATATAGGCAGAGCCTCTCCATGAGTATAAGCTCTATGCGAAGAGCCGAAATGCCGAGCGTGACCTCACGCACACGGACAGCGGTTCTCGCTTGTGTGCGTGCCCCTACCATCTCGGTGCTCACGGTGCTGGCCGGTCAAATCTTTCATCACTGTTCCTCGGTCCTCTTCCGCATTAAATATGCTGAATCGGCTATTTTGAAAAGTAGTAGTAAGTATAAAAGCGGTAAAAAGCATAGGCGACTAGTAGAGTGCGACTAGTAGAATAGCCGAGACGTCAAAAAACGTGACAATCCCGACACTTTTNCAAATACTGAAAAATTGGCCTACTAGCCCCGGTCTCCCTTACTTGTATTTTATACGATGCTCCGAGGTCATCTCACAAGTCAAAATTCTTCTTATTAAACTAAATTTGCGTTACGTCTAAAAATAAAAATTTGGGACTTAACCGGTTATGTAAGCGTTTGTATTTTAACTGTATAATCTTTTTTCCTTTTCGCGAAGTTTTGACGTAACGTTTTCACTTACGTTTAAGACTGTAAATCTTGGAAAAGCATTTTACGTTGTCATATGTAAAAAGCGGGCGTGGCGTGAACATGTTTCCGTCGCTTGCCGTATAGCGGGCTTGGTAGAAAAAAGACGGAACATAGTATGTTCGCACTCTTTCACGAAGAGCCATAGAGCTTATACTCATGGAGAGGCCCTGCGACCGCAAGGAAGATCGACAAAGAGAGATATATTTTTCTGTTTCAACTGTGGCCACTTCTTATAGAAGAGAATAACAGAGAACACGGAGTGGGGGAGCCATAGTTGAGACAAAATATATCGAAATATATCTCTCTTTGTTGATCCTCCCGGCGGAGCTCTCTCTATGGTTACCATATAGGCAGAGCCTCTCCATGAGTATAAGCTCTATGCGAAGAGCCGAAATGCCGAGCGTGACCTCACGCACACGGACAGCGGTTCTCGCTTGTGTGCGTGCCCCTACCATCTCGGTGCTCACGGTGCTGGCCGGTCAAATCTTTCATCACTGTTCCTCGGTCCTCTTCCGCATTAAATATGCTGAATCGGCTATTTTGAAAAGTAGTAGTAAGTATAAAAGCGGTAAAAAGCATAGGCGACTAGTAGAGTGCGACTAGTAGAATAGCCGAGACGTCAAAAAACGTGACAATCCCGACACTTTTGTGAAGTTGGAAGAAAGATTGCAGCGATACTAGTAAGTATCTTTAAATTGTATTTTATTTTTTAAATGTGTTCCGATAATGTCGATATTAGAAAGTGACCAAGTAAATTCAAACACCAATCTACACGCGTTAATGGTTTTAAGTAAACGGCGCNAAATTTACCTAATTTAAAAGTNAAGTCGACTNACTTTCTTTCTAGTTTTACATTGCAATCATGTTTNAATTACGCACTNTTAACGTCATAGCTAATAAAATTGNNTTTGACAATTGTGGTCATATGGATTTCGTGGGGGGTAAGTTCTGGTATAAGAAAGAATTTACAGTTAATATATATGGACTGAAAAAAGTTTTTTCGGAATATATGCCAAGGTGATTTATGGACTTTTTAACGAATTTACGCTTTTGAAGACAATCTTTTATACTCTAGTGTGTGTTTCATTTTTGAAGCTAGCAGTTACAATTTTCAATGTCTTAAATCTTTTGTTTTTGTGTTTGCTACAACTTTAGTAACTCAGGTAGTCAATTAACGACTCGTATGTAATATTGTTACTTTTACGAAACTTAATAGTTTTATATAATTTATAGAAAGGAAACAAATATACCTACATATCAATAAAAAAAAAGGAAGACTTGACGCGACATTCGTAAACCTTTCAAAAGGAAAAAAAAAAGTTGACAAAAAGTCATCGCTACTGTCCACACGCATTAGTTTTGACGTAAGTGAAAAAGAAAAAAAAGATTACACAGTTAAAATACAAACGCTTACAAAACCGGTTAAGTCCCAAATTTTTATCTTTAGACGTAACGTAAATTTAGTTTAATAGAAATTTTACTTGTGAGATGACCTCGGAGCATCGTATATAATACAAGTATATTATACCATATTTCAATAGATTTGCGCAATTCGTTTCACGAAAAGCCTGAAGACACGCGCGTTTACGTGTGCGTTGCGTAATATATGAACATTAATCTTCAATTTGACAACGCAAAAACAGTCATGAGAGTCTTCCGCTGGATGTTTGTTACAAAATATATATACATATATATGAGCAAATCCACCGTTAGTTTTAACTTTTGATGGACTTTTTTATACTGAGTCGTTTTTCATACACCGAAAAAATTGTATTCTTGTTTTGAGGATATCTCACTTACTGTAAGTATATTTTATACTAAAATAGGCGCCAAGAAGAGTTTCTTATTTTAAGAGAAAAATCCTCTAAATAGTAATATTGATAAGAATATATACTGATTATAATATAAAAAGCCTCTATAGAAAAACATATATATCTCACTATCGAAAAAGATTATATTCTTAAATAAAGAATATATTCTTAATTTCAGAAGAATATCACCTAAAATCTTTAAGAAGATTTTTTAAGTATAAAATCTTCTACGAGAATACAATTTTTTCGGTTTATGCACAAGACGTATTTTTTCTTTCTCAAATGCAAACTTGATAAGATTTTCACTTTTCCTCTGGTTTTCTTNAGAGAAAACAATGCTATTTCTCTGAAAGTATTTATATAAAATAAATNTTTTATTTTTACCTTGAAATGAAGACATCTTATTTAAGAGATTAAAATAAAAACTACTTAGTAATTCAGTGTCCGTAACTAAATTGTGACCATGTTGTTGTTGTTTTATATGAATTGTCTCGGAGATTAATCTTATAAAAATTCGGCTTTTTATCTAAGATTTGTACGTTATTGCAATTGAAAGAATGATCGAAATCTACACGGTGTTGTGAAACGACTGAAAGTTGAGAAGTGTTTTTAGATATATTATTAACATGTTCTTTTAATCTTGTTTTAATCTGTCTCTTGGTCTTCCCAACATATGATGCACAACAATTATTACAATTAATTTTATATACCACGTTGTTGTTGGAAAGACGAGATCATCCTTGTGGATCTTAATTAAATT